GTTGACGGAATTAATTATCAACAGCTCAAAATGTTTTAAAATATTTTCTGTGATATTATGTGACAATGACACAAAAAGCAACGCAATGTACCGTGCTTTTGGGAAAAATTTCATACTGCTACCCGTTCGCAATATTCGACGCATGACCATTTGTTGTTTTAGGCCGAATGCAAACCCAGCTTAATGAGAATGTAATCTCCCTTGCGGACTACATTTTCGCTCGTTGACTACGAATTATATTTGAATCAATTTTGAAAATTTCAAGGAGTTTTCCCCGCGAAATTTTCCGCATAAACGTGAATGTTTCAATTGAGAAGTTGCTCGATTTTGAATGGAATGCGTCGAGGGAATATTCAAAGCACTGCTACATCTGAAATGGCTATTCAAATAAGTGAAAGGAGGGGATGAGCGCAACATACGTTGAAGATAGCGGTTTGTTGACCACATAACCACTTTTATCGATGACCAATGAATCGGTGCCGTCAACTTTTATTGAAACCTCTCCTTTTTCATCAATCGATTCTGATATTTCAGGCAGCTTTTCTTTCTTCACTTCGACACTTTCAATTTTTGTTTTCGAGGGAAATGGTGCTATTTCGACAGTCTCGACTCCACTGGAGGTTTCTTCCAATTCATCAACACCACTTTCAACCTGAATACATTACTTGTTGGAACCAAGTGATCACACTGATTAGCATATCGATTAATTAATGGAAAACTTTTGCTGATGATTTGTGATGATTAGTGGAAATTACGTTTAGATTTCCAAGAAGAGTACAGTTTTTTTAAGATAAATATATGCTCTGATGCGTCGAAGACAATTACGGTGATTTGTGTTCATTCTGAAGACATCACTCACCTTCCGAAATATTTCCCTTATGCTCTCCGAGAGAATTGAAAATGCGCAATAATATGAAATGCAGCAATGAACTAAAAAAAACTGAAATATGAACGTATGAAAGAGCNAAAAAAAAAATTGCCGCTGAATTGCAACTGTTTATTTCGAGTACATTGATTTTCGGATATGGCTGAAGACTTACCAGTCGGTGGTCGTCTACCATTGACTGGCTTAGGTTTATTGCCAACCGCTGTAGTGACTGAACCAATAAGTTTCTCGATACCACCTGGGCCACTGGTGAATTGTGCGATGAGTTCGGGATTGGATAACAGATCACCAATTATCTCCCATCCTTTTGGATCTTGAATCAGTTGCATTGCTGTCTGAAAGATAGCTTCATATAAATTTGGAGAGAAATAAATGAATACAAAAATGGCTGGCTGAGAATATCGTTGAAGAAACTTCAGTTCATTGTCCACTTTGTCTTTATTTTGTCATACGATTTTCGTGTCCAACTAATAAGTTCGATTCGCATATCTTATCTGTAAATTCAGCATAACACGAAATACTCACCTGAAAATTAGTGAAGAACTCGCTCTTCCTGAACTGATCAATTGCTTTGTATATATCTCCACAACTCAGTCGGTTGCATATTCCGAGAAATTCGGGTAATTCTGAGATGGGATCGCCGAAATCGCCTTGAGAATTTGTCAGGAATGCTTCGAAAATCCTCGCAAAATCAATTCGTTTCGCTGAAATGGATCAGATGTTCGAAGGAGATGGGTTGGTGTGACAGCGATGGCCGAGTGGTTAAGGCGTTGGACTTAAGTTCCAATGGACGTAAGTCCTCGTGGGTTCGAACCCCACTCGCTGTAAATTATTTTATTCTAGAGGAGTGACTGATAGTGAATTACTGGAGTGCATTCTTCAAGGAAAAGGTTTTTGACTGCCCTGAAAGCACACTTCATATANGCTTCAGAACTGACATTTAAATGCTGGCAAGAGCAAGCAGTGCAAAGATTTCAACGACTTATGCAATGAATGTTCTCGATTTTCCTATTTTGCGTCTATGGTAGCATGTGCTGTGGAAATAACGGATATTTCAAGCATGATCTTGTGAACATGATTGGCTTGTGCATTTCATTACGCAGCTCTGCATGCAGCTTGAATTGCTGAACAAACATATAAGTGATATCATTTCCCTGATGAAAATCGTAATCAGTGTGCGAGCAAAAAACCGTTTTTGAAGAAGTCCAAGTCGAGGAAGAACGGCAGATCGTGTTGTTGAGTGTCTTTGGGAATTGTATTGGCTGGGTGACTCGCTTTGCTGGCAACGTGCTCAGGGCCCATTTGACGATCGTCGATCATACGAAATATAGCCGTCAGAACTCCTTGAGGTCCAAAAAGAGTTTCAGCCCATGCTTCATCTTTTAGCGATTTTTGCGTTGCTATAAATTGACTTAAAATTCTTACGTTGACTGGAGCGCCGTACTTTGAAGGAGATATAAAAATTCTGGAGCACATGCTAAAAAAAGCAGATATCCTAAGATAGACGACCAGAGGAAAGCTCTTAATCATAACAAAGAAATTTCTCACAATCAGGTTAGTTATGCTCTGCATAATATTTCAAACATTCCTCTCAAAGCACTACTACGCAGGATGTTCCCAATTATCTGCATTACGATGACTTCATTACCGCGAAAGGTGAGACAGAATTATTTGTATTAACATTCATCATATAATGATTGAACAGCAATTTAAAGGATAAGTGATGCCAGCGCACCGGGACTGCGATGGATGGTTTTCGGAGGCGCATCATAACTGAGCGATGCTTCGAATTTCTTCAGGGGTATGATTTGGTGTGGATTACTGGCATGCGAAGAAGAACTCCAATTTGTAGTGCTGTAGCGTTTGGCGTGGTGATTCTGGAAATTCATCGGAAATCAAGATAGTTAAGTTGTACATTCAATTCACAATCGAATGCATTAAGTGATCAGCTAAATGATGAAAAATTTCGAAAATGGCATGCCCTGGCTGCATATGCTCGACGCTTCAGATCATATAATTGATGGCTTTGTGGATGATTGTCGTCATTTATTCGACTGCTTTGAGCATGAGTTTGATTTGATCGAAACAATCCTATCATACTCAACACAGAAGATATCAACGTATTGGGTTGTAAAAATGAAGACAACCACGACGGTACGGGCACGTCATCTGGAATTTGTCAAATTAGAGTCTTCGTTTGATACCTGATTTAAGTAAGTAGTTGAGTAAGGATTCGAATTTTTGAGGAAATTAGTAAGTTCTGAAAGTCAGCAAAACTGAACGAAAATCAGCAAGTTCGCCTATGCCAATGCCGTCCTTATGTGCTCTCAATATGTACGCTGATGTATCAGAAAACCCGTGGAAAAATATTGAAAAGCAAACGCTAATTGAAATGTGCACCTATGATTTTGCACACATATTTGGAGAGTACTGTCGATGCTGCTTGCGAAAGCCAATGCTCAGTATTGCTACCGCCGATTTGGATGAATGTATCAGTCTGACATGGTAAGAAATTCTTGGGAAATTAGTTCAGTGAATACACTGGCCCATACTAAACTACGCAAAGTGAAACAAAACTACAACGCCTCTGAAAAGACCGACAAATGGGAAAACCATCCACGTCGATCAGCACTGAAACCATCACCCAGTTTCAACAACTGTTGGGAGAAGACTGCAATATTTCAGAAGTTGATCAACTAATGTAGATTCAGTACACGACATTTCGAGCTCATATTCATTGCCTAAAGCAATTCTGTCCTAAAACCTAAAATGAAGCAAGCTGCTCGTTTGTTGCATTCGAATAGACAGCAAATGATCACACTCAATGAATTTACTAAATT